TAACTGTTAAATAATTGTTAGTTATCTTTGTTAAATTCTAATCATCATTAGCTATTAAAATGGCATGTGGAATGAAGCCTATATCCCATCCCTGCGTAGACGAAAAGTGTTAACAAAGAATGCAAGTATCTTCATCAGAAGCATCACGTGCTGTACAAATTAACGTTTTTAAATGAGGAATATTTATATGGAACCTGCCTAGATTTCAAAAAGCTTTTAATTTGAGGTCTGAGCAACAAAGTAGGAATGTGTGATATAAACTATGCCACTCTAAGCATAGTTATAACTCAAGCATTTTGCTGGAATTACCTAAATCTGTTTATTTTATAAGTAATTATTTAGAGAGACTCATATGCAAAGTTGAAAATTATACCCATGTCCTCCACTCCAATTTATTAATTTCCTAACTGAACAGTCAGTAAGATGAAGATCAAATTGTCTTCTTCGTTATACATTAAATTGAATTGGAAAACTCAGCATGTATGTATAGTCAAATTGGCTCCTAATGACATCACCACTGAATTAAATTTATTACTGGCATTTCAGCCTTGTGCCCTGCCCTCACTGTATTTATTAAGTACTGAAACTGCCATGGTAAACTTCGCTTATGATGGCTGGTTGAGGACCCTAAAGGACCATGAATACGCAAAACGTTTTCCCAGTTCACCAATCAGAGAGTCATTCCTGCTTTCTTAGGGAGGGCTGACTAAACAAGGATGGTTGGAAAACTCCTTGTTCCTACTCTGTGCCTCAGATGGGGTAGGTATGCTATGCTTGGGCCACAGAAAGGTTAGTAGGGGAAGAGAGAAAATAGTTCTCATTAATATACCCCTCTCTTGGTGACATAAACATATAATCTATGTAATAAATCCTTTCTGAGTATTGAAAAACTTAAGGGTAAACACGTTAAATTTTCAGATAGTAACATGAAAATGGTATATTGATGCCTCAGAAAAAAACAAGAGTAAGTTTGAATCAATGAATTCCATACTTTCAAAAGGAGAAAAGGGAGAAATAGAGGGCAAACAACCCAGAAATACAATCAGGGGAAGCGCATTAAAAATAAATACCATGCACATTAGAGAAGCTGATTGGACCATAAGCTGTATATGTTATTTCTGTGACTGTCATTTTCAAGGCAAATGTATAATAATATTGAAATGTGTTAACCACAGTAACATATATAAAAATAAGTGTCTTGAGGATGGTTTCAACTCAAATAACAATATTATATTCAGTTTTGATAGGTAGGTACAAAACAAGAGTTAGAGAAATATAGGCAGGTACCATATATTGTTTTTATTATTGTTTCAGGTTAATTGAGGGTACAAAGAAGGAGATTACACTGATCGTATTTGTTAGGTAAAGTCCCTCTTATAACTGTGATCTGCCCCCAAAAGTTGTGCCGTACACCGTGACCCCCATGCCCCTCCCGACTCCCGTCTCACTCGCTCCCCTGCCCCCCTCACCTTGAATTGATTTGAGTTTTTCACTATTGGTTGGATGCCATAGAAGATTTTTTAAAAGATAAAAATGCAAGACAGCATTGTTGAATAATAGAAAGTGCACGTGTGCTTTGAAACACACAGAACTTGGCTTAAATATTAGCCCTACTGGCATATTAGTTGTGGGTTCGTAACTGTGCTGGTTAACCTCCCCTGGTCTCCCTGCCTTGTCCATGAAATTAGAGTAGCTTCATACTGGTGTTGTGACACAGTAGATCACATTATATCTGGCCTGTGGCAACTGCTCAAACAAATACGTTCCTCACTCCCTGGGAAACATTGAAAAATAGAGCCTAAAAGAAATGAATTAATATGAAATTGTTTTCAATGAAAGAAGTGGCTTAGCTTGCCCTCTCTTCCAGTAAACAGTCTCTTAATACCCCCCAAAAAGTCTACACTAGAACAAATATGCTTAAATTACATCAATATTCTTCTTGAGTTCCTGGGACTATAATATTGGAATAGACCCCAGGTCTTAAGTGTCCTAACCAGGAAATCAAGCAAAATCATCATAAATATATATTTAAATAATTGAAGTATTATTTTAATACCAATCTGATCTCTTCTGCAAGAATTTTAATTTTGTGTTCTACATGGTTGTATGGATTGTCCCCATCCCCTTATCTCGAGACTGAATTTCCCCAAATGTTTGTTGAAATGTGTTTGTCACTGTAATGTCATTATACATCTTAATTCCTAATAAATGTTTGCTTTTGTAGCTTTTACAATTGGGACAACCATATTGCTCTTTGTAATTCAACTCCCAACTATCAAGTGATTTCTGATAATCCGGAAGGCTTACTTTTCAAATACAAAAGAGACCGAAAAATTCTCAATGTGGACCCAAAGGTAAGTCTGACTTTTACATTTCATTATCTTTTCACATGTTATTGTATTTATACCATTATTCAAAAATCTATTAAATATTTGACACTCTTAAGATTTTTTTGTGTAGAAATGAAAAACTATTTTGAAACTTAGAGCATGTGCTATCTTAACAATAATACTACAAAACTTTGCAAATTATTAGAATATGGTAACAAAGAGTTTAGTGGCAATTTAAATAGAACTCACAACCGATGAGAACACGTCTTCATTCTCGGCAGCAGAGTTTCATCAGAGGTGAATGGGCCGTCTATTCACTAATGACTAGAGATGTCCAGTCATTTTTTTCTCTTAGTGGGGAGGGGAGTTATTCAGAGAAGGGGGACCCAGATTTGTACCCAGATTTCTAACAGCCCTCTGTATGTGTTCCTATCACTAAAAATCGTATGGCTCTCTGTGTATTTCTGAGTGTTAACTTAGAAAACATTTTATCTCGATATTTAAAAAACATGTCCCATGATATTTTGAATTTGTTCCATGGAAAAATTTACATGTCATGTGTTTTCAAAGACTGAATTTGCATCATGACTTTTTATCATGACATCATATGTCTGGGGGTAAAGTTTGAAACTTTGCTTGAAGCCATCATGTGTTAGGATTGTTTTGGTGTTTTTTTCTTGTTGTTGTTTGGTTCTTAATTTTGAAAAATATGTTCTTCACATGACAGCATCTGTCTAACATTCAGAGACAAGAAAAATATTCTTTCATAGTGAAAGAAATAAAAATTATGTGATACATATGGGACATGAACAAAAATAGACCGACCGAAAAGGGGAGTCGGCTGCTAAAATCTTTTCCAAAAGGTTCTAGAAATTCAAAGTAAAAAAAAAAAATCTTTGTTTCTTATCTGCTTAGTCTGCTTCTTTGGACATAAAAAAACTGCTTAAATAACTATGCATGTGAAGGATGAATGAACAAAATTCTGTAGCAACAGATAGATTATTGTCTGCAAGGTGATTCAGCTCCAAATATCAGAACCTCCAAGGCAGTGAGATATTGTAAATAGGATAGACACTTATTTCTCTTCCACAGAGGAGTCTAGATAGTAGCAGTCCAAGGTTGAAATGGTGGCTCTGCAGTCATTAGGGCCAGGGTGGCCCTTTTCCTCATGAGCCCAAAGATCTCCAGCCAGAACAACCACATTCATAGCAGAATGTATGGAGGAGATGGAAGGGAGCAAAGGACGTCACCCCTGCTGCCCTTAAGTTTCCCAGAAGCTACCACGCAAGTCACTTGTGTTCCACTGCAAGAGCTTAGCCAGATGGCGTGTCTAGTTATACAGAAGTCTGGGAAATGTGATCTTTATTCAGGTGACCATGCACACAGCTGAAAACAGGGTTTA